CGGTGTTCATCCAGCTCTGCACCTTGTCGTCTTTGAAACTAAACTGAGCAGCCATATAAATATTTCAGCTACCAGAACTAGCCAGAGGCTGGGAGTTCTGTGAAAAATGCTGTCTAAAATGCTAAGTTAGGACTGTGATAGAATATTTATTTGCCAAAATGAATTCAGCTCCAGCATTCGAAAAGCTCATCACCATCCAAGATCAAGACCCACTGACTACCAATGATACAATGACAGTGTGAACCATCAAGATACACAGCAAGGCAGCACCTCACCAAGGATCTTTCAAAAGTATCTTCCAAACCCAAAGATGCACTTATCATTTGTGCAGATACATCAAGCATTATTCAAACAGACAGTTTTGTTGCAAAAATGTACACATCTGAAAACAAGAGGGTAATCTTTGGCTTAAATTCTATATTTCCTTCCTGTAAATATCCATGAACAGCTTCAAGACAAGGAGGACTCTAGGCTTTCACCAACAAAACCCAATTAATTAATTTAAATTGTAACTACATTAAAACGAGCCCAGTGCTTCGTAAACATACAAACACAAAAGAAGACAGGTCTACTCAGTCCCTCCAGCTTGCTTCACTATTTCATAAGATCATGGCTGATCAGGGAAGTTCCTTCTGTCAACACGTAGGTGGTCCTACAAGAGACAGTACAGTGCATTTGCCAGTTCTTGCAAATGAAGCCAGACAGGTGCTCAAGCTGGCATGGTGGGTGGGGGAAGAAAAGGAGTGTTTTAGTGATACCAACCATAATACCACAAGTTTTAAACTTGCCATGGAAAAATATGGTCTAAAAAATTTTGGATTAGGAGGAGGTAGATTTTATTAACCCAAGTCAGGATCAGGCCAAAGTAGACTGGAACAGCTACTGGAGGGTAAATCAACAGGATAGTGGGAGATGTTCAAAAAGGAACTGGGGAAGAGTACAGGCCCAGCAAGTACCCATTAAGGTGAAATGGAAGTCCAACAAGGCCAGAAACCCTAGATGTTTAAGAATATTCAGGACTGCCTAAGGAGGAACAGAGGTGTATTACAACTACAAAAGGTGCAAATCAATGATGGGCCAGGTGGAGTACAGAAAGAGCAAGAGGGAAACTCAAGAAAACAAGTTAGGAGAGCAAAGAGTGGCATGAAAGAGGACAGCAAGGTTTGATCAGGGACAGTCAGTATGGCTTTGACAGAGTGGGCTCATGCTTAATACTCATGCTTGTATCTTTCAAAGAAGTTACTAAGTGTGTAGATTAAGGTAGTGCAGTTGATGTAGTTTATAGGGATTTGACAAGGTCCCACAAAGGAGACATGCGGTAAAACTCATGGGGTCCAAGCTTATTGGATCCAAAATTGGTGATTAAGTGAATTTTAGTGCCGGTATGACGTCAGGTACATAGATTATATGTCCCAACACCAAGTGAAGCAGATCACAGGAAAGGATGTTTGCAAAAGACAGGAGGCCAGATTCAACCTGGCTACACTTAAAATTCATAACATTTCATACACAAGGACTGTTCTCAATAGGAGCAAGAACATGCCGAGACTCTGCACCTTTCCTGCAGATGAAATAGTTGTCTAGTGCATCAACATGGCAACAGAGCACAGTCAACTTGCCAACCTGCACCCTTTCCTAGTACAGTACAAATTGTTGCTCCTAGTAAAATATGGCAACCTTGCATATATTCAGGTGAATACAGGATGAAAAGCTTCAACACAGCATCTCATTAAGCAAAACTCAAATCAGGTCAACTTTGACATTCTTTTGTATTGATATATAAATTCAGTACGTAATGTTTTATTTTTGGATTAGAAATGCCAAACTCCTGTCACATACATTTTAATGTATTTTTCAGATTTTTCTTTAAAACAAAGCTCTTCAGTCACTAAAAGTTGCTGACCACCATGTTAGAAAATGCAGACCAGGACAATCCAGGTTTTTAAAATCATTGGTCTGTTTAAAAAACAAAGTCTACATAGCAAAAGCTAAACTACAAGCTGAGGACAAAGGAGTACACACAAGAGAACAAAAACGCAGAGGAAAGGAAACTTCCATGGATGATTGGAGAGCTACTGGTGGTTAGAGAGAAATAATGAGGCAGCTGTGAGATATTAAAACAATTTCAAATTGGAGAATTTAGGGAGTCAGAATCAAAAGATGGTACAAGCAGCAGTTGAGGAGTGAAGGATGGCATCTGAATAAAAACCATAAATGCCAAAATGATAGTGCAGTAGACGACTTCCACAATCACCTGCATATATCAAGTTATTAAACACATGCTCAAGAGCTTTGGATTGGAAGGAAAATTAGAGATGGGGTACTGATTTTCAAAGACAGCTGAGAATTGGTAGAAGAGCCTCTAATAGAATTGAAAGGGCATTCTTGTCTAAAAACCTACCTCTGAACCAGGTTTGCAATCAACTTTCCAGTGTACTTTGCTTTTGGTCAAATGCTCCAAAACCAGTACAAAGCAACCTGGAACATTTAATAAAAAAGATAAAACAGTTATTCAAATTAACTTCATGCTTAAAAGCTAAGGTTTACATCAATTCGAAATAATCTGTTTCTCTCCAAGCTAGACGCAACTCTGCCATGCATTTAGAATTGGCAGAGGAAGCAGTGCAAAAGAAACATTTAAAAATTGCTGCACTGAATCAGATAATTGTAAGTGGATCAGAACAAATTATAGATTTACAGAAGACAGTTACGGGCATTGGGCTACAGAGCATCTATATTCTTAAAGCAGGCTTAGTACTGATCCATGTTTATTCTTTCAAATAACAAACTTTACAGTTAAATGAGATCCTTGGAACGTCATTTTGCTGTAGGTTCTTGATTTCACTTAAGAGTCAGTTAAAAACAGACGATAACACAAAAAAATCAGCCTGATTGGTTTATAACTGAAGCAATAATTTACATGCAAAACTTTTAATCAAAAGATTTTTAAAACTCACTTTTCAAATTAAAAACAAGGGGTGAAATCAAAGCTTGATCAAAAAGATGAGTTCTGAGTTTTGTATAGAGGTGTAAGGGGTTGAAAGAAAAACTAGTTACTTCTTTGGTTATTCAACTGGTGCACAAATCACCAGCAAGGTCAGCATTTATTGCCCATTCCTAAGTAACTCAACTATGCTCTGCAGTGGCAACCACATTACCATGGATCTGGAGTCCTAACTGGGTATGGGTAGCAAATCTCCACAAGACCATAAGATATAGGAGCAGGAGTAGGTCATTCAGCTCAGAGTTTACACCAATGAGATCAGTGTTGATCTGATAATCCTCCACTCATTTTCCAGAATTCCCACCCACCCACCCCAAACATCCTGAGAAGTTGTGCAGGCATTTGATTTGATTTGATTTATTATAGTCACATGTACCCAAGTACAGTGAAAAGCTTTGTTCTGCAAGCAGTACAGGCAGATCATAGCAAATAAGGACATACAGATCATAAGGTGTTAGACAGCAAGGCATACAAGGCTAAGCAAGAACATTTGAAGTTAGAGGAGTCCATTCAGCAGGCTTAACACTTTCCATAGTTTTGCAAATATATAGAAACAAAGAAACTAGGAGTGGGTCATTTGCCACTTCAAGTCTGCGCCATTATTCAATTGTAACAATGTTTAACCATCGATCTCAACAGTATTTTCCCACTTTTGCCAACCTTAAACGTCCTCAAAGTCTAAAAATTACTTCTTGAAAATATTCAGTAATTTAACCTCTTCAGCCTTCGGTGATAGAAAATTCCACAAGTTCACCACTCTTTGAATAGTCAGTTCTGCTACGAGTGTTCCACCAACACAAATTGACTAACTCAATTGCCATGGTGATGCAAAGTGACCTCCAGCAAGTGGAAGGCCTTTAGAAGTGTGATAGCTAGAGTTCAAAGTCTAGATGTTCCTGTGAGGGTGAAGGGCAAGGCTACCAGGAGTAGGGAACGCTGGATGCCAAGAGATATTGAGGCTTTGACCAGAAAAAGAATAGCATGGCTCAGGTATAGGCAGCTGGGATTAAGGGAATCCTTGGAGGTATACAGGAGTTTACTGAAAAAGGAAATCAGGAGAGTTAAAAGGGTGCACAAGATAGCGTTGGCAGAGAAGATTGGGTGAATCCAAAAAGATACCTTAAGTATATTAAAGAAAGTAAATAAATGGAGACAGAATAGGACCCCTCAAGGACCAAAGTGGACATGTGGAACCGCAGAAGCCGGGCGAGGTCCTCAATGAATATTTGTGTTTACCAAGGAGAAAGACAAAGACTTGGGAACTTGAGAAAGTTAATGGCGATATCTTGGGGACAGTCCCTATCACACTAGAGGTGGGGATGGACAATTAGAATATATGAAGGTGGATAAAACTCTTGGTCCTGACCAGATATATCAGAGAACCTTGCCACAGGCTACAGAAGAAATTGTGGGGGCCCTGGCTAATATATTTGCATCATCGTTAACCACAGGTGAGGTCCCAGAAGACTAGAGGGTAGCAAATGTTGTGCCCTTATTCAAGGAGGGCTGCAAGAGAAACCTGGGAACTACAGACCCCCACTAAGCCTAACATCTGTGGTAGCCAAGTTATTGAGAAGATATACATTGTTTTTGAAAAGAGACGGTTTGATTAGGAGTAGTCAGCATGGCTTTGCACATAGGAGATCATGCTTTAAATTTATTACAATTCTTTGATGAAGTGATCAGGAAGGTTGATGAGGACAGGACACTAGACGTAGTCTATATGGATTTCACGAAGGCCTTTGATAAGGTTCCACATGCTTTGGAAGGTTTGATCGCATGGAAGCCAGGGAGAGCTGGCAACTTTTTTTTTTTTTATTCATTCACAGGATGAGGGAGTCACTGGCCAGGCAGCATTTATTGTCCATCCCTAATTATCCAGAGGGCAATTGAGAGTCAACCACATTGCTGTGGGTCTGGAGTCACATGTAGTCCAGACCAGGTAAGGATGGCAGTTTCCTTCCCTAAGGGACATTAGTGAACCAGATGGGTTTTTCTGACAATCGGCAATGGATTCCCAATTCCAGATATTTTATTGAATTCAAGTTCCACCATCTGCCATGGCAGGACTCGAACCCAGGTCCCCAGAACACTATCTGGGTCTCTGGATTAATAGTCCAGCGATAATACCACTAGGCCATTGCCTCCCCTTGGATACAGAATTAGCTTGATGGGAGGAAGCAGAGGGTGACAGTGGAAGAATACTTGTCAGACTGGAGGCCTGTGACTAGTGGTGTGCCTCAGGGGTCAGTGCTGGGCCCACTGCTGTTTGTTGTCTATATCAATGATTTGGATGAGAATGTACAAGGTATAATTAGTAAGTTGCAGATGACGTTAAACTGGGTTATATCATGGACAATGAGGAAGGTTAAACTGCAGCCAGATCTTGATCAGCTGGGGAAGTGGGCTGCGAAATGGCAAATGGAGTTTAATATAGATATTAGAGGTGTTGCATTTTGGAAAGTCAAGTCAAGGTAGGAGTTTCATGGTGAGTGACAGGGTCTTAAGGAGTATAGTGGAAGAGGGATCTTGGAGTTCAAGTTCACGGTTATCTGAAACTGGAGTCACAAGTAGACAGGGCAATAAAGGCAGCTTTTGGTACATTGGCCTTCATCAGCCAGGGCATCAAGCATAGACGTTCAGAAGCTATGTTGCAGTTGTACAGGACATTGTTGAGGCCACACTTGGAATATTGTTTTCAGTTTTCATCACCTTGCTATAGGAAGGATGTTATTAAACTAGAAAGAGTGCAGAAGAAATTTACAAGAATGTTGCTAAGACTCAAGCATCCAAGTTATAGGGAAAGGTTGGACAAGTTAACACTTTTTTATTTAGAGCATAGGAGACTGAGGGGGATCTTATGGAAGTGTATAAGATCATGAGAGGCATGGACAGGGTGAATGCACTCAGTCTTTTTCCCAGGGTTGGGGAAAATCAAGGACTAGAGGGCATTAATTCAAGATAAGAGGGGAAAGAATAAATGGGAATCTGAAGGATAATTTTTTTTTTAATTAAACAAAGTGTGGTATGCATATGGAATGAGCTGCCAGAAGTGACTGAGGCGGGCACATTAACATTTAAAAGGCACTTGGACAAATCCATGGATAGGAAAGGTTCAGGTCGGTTGGCTCGCCGAGCTGGTTTGTTGTTCCGCAGACGTTTCGTTACCGCGCTTGGTAACATCCTCAGTGCAGCCTCTGATGAAGCGTGTTTTCCCGTCTGGCTTTTAAACTCTGGGGTCCGTTGCGACGGATTGCCTCACTTCCGGGTTTCCTCCGAGGTGTACTGTATATGGGGTCGAGTTCAATGTGATCATTAATAGCCTGCTTCGTGGAGTGCCATGCTTCCGTTCAATGATGACAAAGGTGTCGTCTACGTAGCGTATCCCTATAGGATGCCTACAGGAACAGCATCAGAAAGATTCTACACGCCCCGACACACATCACACTACCCTACATCAGGAACACGTCAGAACTCACCACAAGACTTCTATGACCGCTGGGCATCAGAGTGGCACACAAACCCACATCAACCCTACAACAAGTGCTCACCCGAACTAAAGACCCACTTCCCGCCATGGACAGGACCAATGTCATCCACAAGATCCCCTGCAGAGACTGCGAGAAACACTACATCGGCCAAACAGGAAGGAAACTAACAACAAGTACAAGAACACCAACTGGCTACAAAAAGACACGACCAATATTCACTCATCTCAATCCACATGGACAAGGAGAACCACGACTTCGAATGGGACAACACCAAGATCCTGGGGACAGGCTAGGCAGAGACAAGCAGGAAAGTTCCTGGAAGCATGGCACTCCACAAAGCAGGCTATTAATAAACACATTGAACTCGACCCCATATACATTCCACTATGGAGGAAACCCAGAAGTGAGGCAATCCGTCACAACGGACCCCAGAGTTTAAAAGCCAGGCAGGAAAACACACCAACATTTCATCAGAGGCTGCACAGAGGATGTTACCAAGTACTGTGCCGCAGACGTTTCGTTACCACAAACCAGCTCGGCAAGCCAACCAACCTCAACACCCACAATCCAAGCTACAAATCTACTCCAAAACCTTATAGGAAAGGTTTAGAAGGACATGGGCCAAGTGCAGTGAAAAGGGGTTAGCGTGGATGGACATTTTGGTCATCATGGACCAGTTTGGGCCAAAGGGCCTGTCTCCATGCTGTAGGACTCTGACTTCATTTATTTGTAGAGCCAGAAACTCAATGCTCTTCTGCAACAAACCATCATGCAATAGAAGCAACGTCTAGCCCTCAGACTAATTGCTAATTTGCAATCATCAGAAATATGGATAACATTCTCTAAACATCTTTCAAGTGTGGAACTTGATACGAGTTTACAGATTTAAAACCAAAGCTTCATATTTGTGGTGCAAGGCATCACTTTGCCAGCAAGTGTCTTCCAGGTTTACATTGGGCCAATAAATTACTGACTTATGAAAA